GGGCTCAAGGGATCCTCTTGCCTCGGTCTTCAGAATAGTTGGGCTGAAAAGGAACACACAACCACACCTGGCTGTCTTCAGCTGTCTCCTCTCAGTGCTCACAGACTCTCTTGGGTCTATCTTTTTTGTTCTCATGACTTCTGCTAGCACCTTTTGCTGATGACTGCCAAGCACCAATCACCAGCCCAGTTCTTCTTCCTAAATGCAGTGCTCATGCATACAACCGTTTTACTGGGCATCTCCACTTAAAATCTGAACAGAAAGCACAGGTTCTGAAATTGAACTTGAATTTAAAGCCTTGCTCCATTACTAACTAAACTGCATGGCCTTGGGCAAGATAATTACCTCTCTGAGCCTCAGATAATAATGATTGTTCTACTTTTTGGGGTTGCTGTGAGGACTAAATGAGATAATTCATGTACAGCACTTACCACAGTGTCTGGCACTGAGCTAATAGTAGCAGAAAGAGTAGTAATAAAGTCCTCAGAAAGCTCAATTCAACAGATTTTTTTTTTTGAGTTGGAGTCTCACTCTGTCACCCAGGCTGGAGTGCAGTGGCACACTCACGGCCACCACAGCCTTGACCTGCTGGTCTCAGGCAGTCCTTCTGCCTCAGCCTTTCAGGTAGCTAATTTTTGATTTATTGTAGAGACGATGTCTTGCCAAGTTGCTCGGACAGGTCGCAAAACCACAGGCTCAGGCAATCCATTTGCCTCAGCCTCCCAAATTGCTGAGATTACAGGCTGAACCACCGAGCCTGGCCTATTCAAAAGATTTAAAAGTAAATTCATGCCTGTAATTCCAGCACCTTGAGAGGTTGAGACAAGAGGAGTGCTTGTGCTGGGGAGTTCGAGATCAGCCTAACATAGTAAAACTCTGTCTCCACAGAAAAATTTTTTTAAAAAAATTAGCCATGCATGATGACGTCTGTAGTCCCAGCTACTCAGGAAGCTGAGGCAGGAGGATCATTTGTGCTCAGGATTTCAAGGCTGCAGTGAGCTATGGTGGCACCATTGCACTCCAGCCTGGGCGACAGAGCGAGACCCTATCTCTTAAACTAAATAAATAAATAAAATTTTTTTTAGTCGAAGTCTCACTCTGTCGCCCAGGTTGGAGTACAGTGGCATGCTCACGATCACCACAGCCTCTACCTGCTGGGCTCAGGAGCTCCTTCTGCCTCAGCCTTCCAAGTAGCTGGAATTATAGGTGTGCACTACCACACCCAGCTTATTTTTTGACTTATTGTAGAGACAAGGTCTCACCAAATTGCCCAGGCTGGTCTCGAACCCCTGAGCTCGGGCAATCCTCTTGCCTCAGCTTCCCAAAGTGCTGAGATTACAGGCTTGAGCCACTGTGCCCAGCCAATAAATATTTTTTAAAAAGTGAATTCATGAACAAGCCTTAAATCTTCTCTTCATCCTCTGCCTCAAATCTCAGTAAATAGCACCACTAATAAGCTAGAAATCTGAGTGTTATCCTTGTTTTCTGACTGCCACTGTCCTCCCACTCCATCAGGGACTCTTCCTAAATTAATCTTGTTATAACACACCTATGACGCTTTGAATGTTTATGATGTCCAGGCCTTCATTCAATCCAGAGAATAATCCTGCAAAGCAGGTCCTATTATCATTCCTGTTTCGCAGATGCAGAATTTAAGGCAGAGGAAGGTTGAGTAGCTCTTTTGAGATTATATGAGTGCAAAGCTGGCAAGCAAACACAGGCTGTCTGGCTTCCATCTCCATGCTCACAACCACTATGTTATATGCCATGTTGCTTCTACTGTCATGCATTGCACATTCTATTGTTTGCCTTGTCTTCCTTGTAGACTATGTGTTCTTTGAATTCAAGAACTCTGATTTGTTTGTAGTAGCATCCTCAGTGACTAGAACAGTGTCTGACAAACAGTGCATACTTAATATACCCAGTGAGTCAGGTATCCTCGGAGACAAGACAAAGAATAGATAAATGAAAGTGGTAAAAGAACAGCCAGCAGGTTACATTCCGACATATCTAGGATCAGAGGTTTTGTTTGTGGAAAAAGTTTTGGTTTTTTTCTCTGAGGATAACAAACAGAAGACTGAAGTCAGAGGTAAGTAGAGATTGAGCTTAAAAGGATATTAATGCTGGGCTCGGTGGCTCAGCCTGTAATCCCATACCTTTGGGAGGCTGAGGTGAGTGGATTGCCTGAGCCCGCGGGTTCGAGACCCACCTGGGCGACTTGGCGAGACCTCATCTTTACGATAAATCAAAAAATTAGCCGGGCGTGGTAGCGCGCGCCTGTAGTTCCAGCTACTTGGAAGGCTGAGGCGGAAGGATTGCCGGAGCCCAGTAAGTCGAGGCTGCGGTGGCCAGGAGCGACCACTATTGTAGGGCACATGCTATCATCCTTTTAAGGAATGCACATTTGACAAATAAAATTCATAAAGAGAACTCACAGATTTTGGAGTGTGTCACTAACAGTTTTAAAAACTGCGTTTTGTTATTTCTTTTTCTTATTTATTTATTTTTTGAGTCGAAGTCTCACTCTGTCGCCCAGGCTGGAGAGCAGTGGCACACTCACGGCCACCCCAGCGTCAACCTACTGGGCTCAGGTGATCCTTCTGCTTAGCCTTCCAAGTAGCTGGCCAGAAAATTGTGTTTTAAAGAAAAAGAGACCACTAGCCAGATGTGGTGGCTCACACCTGTAATCCCAGCATTTTAGGAAGCAGAGGTGACAGGATTGCCTGAGTCCAGGGGTTCAAGACCAGCCCGGGCAACTTGGTGAGACCTCGTCTCAACAATAAATTAAAAAAATTAGCCAGACGTGCTAGTGCACGCCTTTGGTTCTAGCTACTTGGAAGGCTGAGGCAGAAGGATCTCCTGAACACAGCAGGTCGAGGCTGCGGTGACCGTGAGCATGACACTTCATTCTAGCCTGGGTAACAGAGTGAGACTCCTACTCAAAAAAAAAAAAAAAGAAAAAGAAAAAAGAAAAAAAGGCCACTGTCTATTCTTACATCACTCAAATTGTGTTAAAGGACCCAATTCTAGTGCCACGCACATCAACTTCAGATGGAGTATTATACTGGATCTGAGAATTAACATTTAAATTGGGGGAACAAATACAAATATAAACTCAAGCAGAATTCCAATTTGTCATAAGGGTCAATTTAAGTATGTAGTCAGTTTATAGTCAGCACCACCTGGTGTGCACTGTGCTGTGTGAATTACTATATCATAATAAACAAACAGACATTGGTTTTTCTTTTCTTTTTTTTTTTTTGAGTTGGAGTCTCACTCTGTTGCCCAGACTGGAGT